TCTGAAAAACAGGGCCTACAAGTCATTAGAAATTTTAAAAGATTATTTACAAAAGTAAAGCAAGAAATACATTACCTGTTAAATATCTAGCCGACTAGCCAGGTTAATCTTATTTCATTCTTTTTTTACTTTCTTTTTTTCTTCTTTATTATGAACAATATGAACGAAATGTATTTCGGGCAATATTTTGAGGAACGGAGTTAAAAAAAAATAATGTTTGATCGAGCTGAAGTCAAGAATGAAAAGACACAATACGAAATACGAAAGATTTTTTTGCTTTGAAATAGATATACTTGAATGTAGACTCATTCTTGCTAGGCCCGACAAGCCCAACCACCGAAGTTGGCACTGACACACACACACACACACACACACACACACATATATATATATATATATATAGAGAGAGAGAGAGAGAGTCTTTTTACAAATATACTCTATCAGAAATATTACAAATATATATATATATATACAAATGTAAAAGAACGAAGAATAAAATTGCAACGTTCAAAACATTAGTTTAAAACAGACCTCAATACAAGAGTAGAGCAATAAATATTTATTATAGATATATATATTAGAATATGTAAGTAGCTACTACAAAATTGTACATTTCGTTTCGACGTTTAATAAACATCGTCTTATCAGGTAGTTAAAAATGATGTAAATCATTGTTAACTGCTATCATTGTTAAATACCTGATGAGACGTTGTTTATTAAACGTCGAAACAAAATGTACAGTTTTGTAGTAGTTACTTACATGTCTAATGTAACAATATATATATATATATATGTGTGTGTGTGTGTGTGTGTGTGTGTGTGTGTGTGTGTGTGTGTGTGTGTGAAAATATATAGAAAATAGGAAGGAACTGGTTAGGTAAATAATCCAAAGTCCCTTAGTATTCTAGTTATTATTTTTTAAAAATAGTGCTCGATACAAAAGTAGAGCATCCAAAACGCTACATAAGAAGTCAAATTGTTTCAAAACAAGAGCCGAACACTTCAATATAATTATTTAAATTAAATTGAGTCAAAATAAGCTCTGTTCCATCTTCAAGCGAAATTTTTTTTGGAATACCGTATATCTGAAATTTACGTGTTTTAAAAATTGAAATCAAAATTTCCATGGTAACAGCTAGGGCGGATTGTTTAAATTGGGTAGGCGAGTGTTGGGTGTTAATAATAAGTATCAGTATAGAGTTACTTTCATAGATGTCAAGTCAGGGAAAGGTAGGGGTGTCTAAATTTTAAACGGAAGATGTATTAACCCTCGTCGAGTTTGCATGTCTATGGAGATTTATTTATTTTTTTATTTTATTTTTTTATGAAAGGGATTTGTGCATATAAAACTGTCGTATGTAGCGTTTTTGAAATCATATTTTTAAATAAATAATATATATATATATATATATATATATATATATATATATATATATATATATATATTTTATGGGATAAAGTGCTCAGTATCAGAGAGCGTATGTAAATATAAATATAAAAGTGAAAGTCAACAGTTTATAGACGACAGGCTGTTTCATGCTAGACGCAATCGTCAGGCTGCCTGACGATTGCGTTTTATGAAACAGCCTGTCGCCTCTGTTGCCTTCCATGTTCACTTTATATATATATATATATATATATATATATATATATATATATATATATATATAAGAGGTATGTTTAAGCAGCAAATATTCATCCAAACAAGTTTGATTAAAAAAGAAGCGGCAATGCCTCCCTGTCAAATTTTTTTTATTATATTTGTCCAACTTTTGGATAAGGTGTTGCGTATTGTGCTTGGAGTTGTGGATAAAATGTCCGAAGTTCGCTATTTTGTTATTTTTGTTCTAGTACGTTCGATTTTCGCAGTCATTATCAAAAAGCAATGTGGCATCTGTGTGATAATTACAATTCCTTCATCTGCATCCTGGTATTCTTTGGGAAGCTGAACGTTTTAAATGGTCTAGCACGACATCATATGTAACGCTTACTGGGAATGAGGGCGCACAAAAAGAATGCCATTATTTATTTTTATTAATTAATCCATTTTCTTTAATACTATTGTAATATGTGCGCACATTAATTATATTATATGCACTTCAAGATATCAGTTTATGTAGTGAATAATATTTTATTTAATTTGGTTCGTATATTTTATATAATAATTGATTCTAGAGTTGTGAGTCTTTCTTTGCATTGGATTCTGAGGTGTATTTTGGCGCTATCTACTAATATTTGTCGTATGTGCTTGTCGTTGTGTGCACAGATTGCACTGATTTTACACAGGTGACAGCTCAATCTGCGAGAGAGTGTGATGCATGTGTGCCCAATGTAAGTATTTAATGTTGTTTTATTAGTGTTGGAGATGCAATCTCACAGGGGGAATTTGATAATTCATAAACAAATTTATTTTTACATGGGGGTATTTATGAGACCCGGTATTATTAGTAATAATTAAGTTAGAAGTTTGAAACTTATTATAGTAGATAATAAATCTTAGGTGTTTGTCAGGATCACTGAGTGAAATATACAGGTGAATTATGTTTTTAATTGGTTTTTTATCCTGTTTATAATTATGGTGAATTTGGTTATGATAAATTAAGTTGAATAGAATGACTTGTTTATTATTTGGTTTAAATTTCGTTAAGGCTAATTTTATTTATTCGCCGACCATGTGCTTAGGGGAAATTATTGTTTGTTTAGTGTTGTTGCTAAGTTCCTTATAAAATAATATGTATGAAGAAGAGATTACTTCGGTCCTGTAAATCAAGATTTTTATAACAGCTTCAAACTGTGAGGACATTTACTTTTGTAAAGACGAGTTTCTGCTAGTGGTTTTCTTGTAAAAATAGGTGATATCTTCGTGCAAAATACTCAACACCTCATCCGAAAATTGAAAAATATATATATATATCATAATAATTCAACATGCCTCGACCTAGAAACCTCAAAAGAATGCAGAAGATACTGGATAGCCGTTTTACACACACACACATATATATATATATATATATATATATATATATATATATATATATATATATATATATATTGTCGTTGTTAAGTTCGTATGTGAAATTAAGTACGGAGTTCTTTGAAAATTTTTTAGTAGTTCATGTATTTCGTCTATGTTTTTGACTAAATTGAGCATGTCATTTACATATCTTAGGTAAATGGAGTTTTTTTTGGTGGGGGTGTATTAAGCACGTTATTTTTTTAGATTAGTCATGTAGAAGTTTCTAAATGTCTTTTCCCAGGACAGAAACCATAGAAACACCGTCACATTGTAATTATATGTTAATTTGATGGCCATAGAAAGGAACTTCTTTGGTGCATATCAGGAGTAGTTTTCTTAAAATATTAGGACTAATTTCTAATGGAGGTAGAGATGGATTGTTGTAGATATTCTTTAAGATTATGTCTATCGTTTCCATGACTGGGACTTTAGTGCATAAATTTTCAACGTCAAGTGAAGCTATGGTTTCATTATTAAGTTTTTGTGCTTTTTAAAATTTGGACAATAAATGTCCTTGATGTATTGATAGAGGCTAATAATAATACATATACTACCTTCCCATATAAAAAAACCCTAACATAAGCACTCTCAACTATAAAAGTGAATGTCCTATTACAAAATAGCTGCTATACGAAACATAATAAACTGTGCAAAAGCAAACACTTGATCAAGAAAGATTTTCTATACTAAATTAAAAAATATTAAGCAAACTCTCATTAATAATGACTTTCCTAATTACATCGTTAATGAACAAATTAGACGATCTATTGGGAATAATAAATAAAAATGAACATAATATGTCCTCAAATAATTCTAAACGTATCAAACTACTATACCGTGCATTCTATCAGCAGGATGAAAAAATTCTAAGAAGGCTCATGAACACTAATAAATTCCCCACTGATCCAAGTAAAAAATAAAATTATATACTGTACTAAATTTAATACAACTAACCTAGTTATCAATAACAACACTTCTCTGTCAGCTAGTACCTTACAAAACCAACATCGTATATCAATTTAAATGATCTCTGGGAGATGACATCTCTGATAAAAATGTTAATACGTATGTTGGTTTTACAACAACGGCGATGACGACAAGGCTTACGTTATACTTGAACGATCATAGTTCAATCTCAGAACATTTAAAGGGACACTCGTGTCCATATTCATAGTTTAGACAGATTTTAGTCGAAAATACATCAGTGCTTCATCAACATAATAATAAGCAAAAAAATTTCTGGAAGCCTTTTATATAAGAGAATTGCAACCAAAAATAAATAAAATCAACTACGGGTACAGCAACAAATTTATTAAATGTTTGTAGCAGCAAAATGTTATATAAAATATGCTAAATTAAAATACTACAATTAAAAATCTTTTTAAAAATTCACATAAGTTACCTCCCTTACACAGTGGTGAAAAAATATTTTGAATTTACTGTGTTAGCGCATAACACATCCATAGATTTGCAACTCCTGAAGATGGTCTCAGATGAGATTGAAAATACTTGGGAAAATAAAAATTATTTGAAAGAAAATTTTTGAATTTTTCTAGATCAATTTAGATGGAATTGAAAGAATTAAAACTGAAATAAATAGACATAATACGTCTAAATTATTTAACCAAACATGATCTAATTAAAATGTGCTGGCTAAATATATATATATATATGTGTGTGTGTGTGTGTGTGTGTGTGTGTGTGTGTGTGTGTGTGTGTGTAGACACAGATAAACGTATGCATTCAGAAGGAATATGCTATCAGTAAACATGTTAATAGAGAATGTAGACAGAAACACACAGAATACTTATTAACTGTAAATGCTTTTCTGAATAATAGCCAAGATACGCATGCTCATTGAAGCCCCATATGGAAAGAGTGGCGCAAAAATCGATGCATGCATACAGACGTTATTCGATCAGCAAATGCTAGCATCATTCAGACATGCTAGCAAACACACGCTCACAAATTCACCTGTGCAAACCCCCAAGCCATTCTCTACTCCAATACCAAAGATGCATATAAAGAGACGCGTGTATTGGAATGAATTGAATGAGTGGTAAGAGAACTGGGTACGGGTGGCGGGAAAAACTAAATGGAGAGTCAGGAGGAGTCGGATCGCAATATGAAAAGAGAGTAAGGAGCAGGGATAACAGGACGTGATGTAGAGCGATGGTGGTGAGAAGTGGAATGGTAGAGAATGGTGGGATGGGGGAAAGAGACAAGTGGAGGCGCATCGCTGGTTAGAAAACATACGGTTTGCTTGTTGATGATAACAGGGGAAGAGGAAATCCTGGAAAGTCGCTTGTTTGCTTTGCTTTACTTTCTATAATGTGTCCAGAATGCTATCGTCATCGTCACAGGATTCCTCTCTCTATATATATGTCTCGCTCTTTCTTTCTTTCTTTCTTTCTTTCTCTCTCTCTCTCTCTCACACGCACACATATTCTGTTTTTCTTTCTTTCTCTGTGTGTCTTTCTTAGTTCCTTCAAATTTGTTATTCTTTCCCTCTAAGAAAGTGCAACCTTTCCTTTCTGTTTGTACTATCCATGTAATTTTCTTTATGCCATATTCCTTTTTCTACAAACATAAAGCTTATAACTACATTTATATTACATTCTCTCGATCCGTCTGTCTACGTCAGTCTTCATGGAATTCCACCTTCACTTTTCAGTGTAATAAATTGCCTTGGCACCGAGTATCCGTTCCCTGGACAGCGCCAACTCATTTCTCTAAAATGAGAGAGCTAAGTTTATTCCCAGTTATCTGTTGTTGAAGCGAATCGCCTTAAGCATTTTTTTCAATGACCCATGTTGAAAAATGACCTTCATTTAAATTCTGTATCACATGGAAATATGATTATTTTTGTTCTCTCTCTCTCTCTCTCTCTCTCTCACCGTTTATATATATATATATATATATATATATATATATGTCTATTTCATTTATATATATATATATATATGTATATATATATATATATATATATATGTAAATAAATATATATATATATATATATGTATGTAAATATATATATATATATATATATATATATATATGTATGTGTGCGTGTGTCTTTATATATATATATATATATGTTTCTTTCACTTTCCCTCTCTTTCTCTCACTCCCTTTTGTCTGTTTCTTTGTTTCAGTTTCAATGCTCATCTATTCCACGCACATCTTTATATCATACCATTCGCATTACCAATCTCGCTATTTACTTGAAGGAAAACAAATTGCACACAAGACTATTTTTAACACGGTAAGATATTCAAACACCATAGAAATAACATTTCTCTTTTCACTCTATTTTTGTCCTTTTTATCTTCTTTTAAGTGTCATGAAGTTTCAGAACATCATGTCCTCCACAATTTCCTGTCTCATTGCTCTAAGTAACTTTTGACCCTTTATCATTCCTCTTTTTGTCCTTGATTGGACATCTATTCACAGAAACTCATTAAATAGGTTACTCGTTGTTTCTCCTGCTTCTCTTGCTCCTCATCATATTCTGTGAGTGTTAAATTCTCTAGGCACTCTTTCTTCATTATGTGCCTCAAAAAAGTATCAGTTTCCTTTTAATTCCTGTTTTCCTTAAAACTCCTTCTTTAGTTACATGATCTGTCCATTTGTATTCTCGGTCACTCAGTTAATTGTCATACGCGATACACGCTCTTTCGATTCATGACTGACTAGGTAGATAGTATTCTCGCACTGCCATTTCTTTCTACGATAGACTAGTTGGCAACCAAGGCTAGAGAACCCAGTCTGCCCTGTTATTCAACCCATAACTGGGAGAAGAGATGGATTCATACCTTTCCTACGGGTATTTGCAGCAAACACGACTGAAATTCGAACTCGGCTTTTCGATTTCTCACTCCGAGTTGATATCCATTAAACCACAAAGTGCATCCATTTTCTCAGCATATGTTAAAAGAGCCACTTCAACTATCATCTTCATCACCGAGGAGATTTGTCCAACATTCAGTGTCATATAGACGGTTAGATATTACTTTGCAGCTCAATGCACCTTTCTTTGTTTCCAACGATATTCTTCTATGCTTTAAAACTTTGCATAGTTTCTGGAAGATATCTTTCCCTATTCCCATCCACCATCTTGGGCTGTTTCTTTTGCTGGCAACTATATATTGTCTTCCTACCTTTAACAGTTTGTCCTTTCTTTTTATTTTCCTTCACGACTTTGTTTAAAAGTTATTTCAGTTATCTTTTTGAGCCTGTCTTCAACCAAGTGCCATCTGGGTTTCTTACGTTGTTATGATTATGCCTGTTAATAATGGTTGGTGTTCCCGTTATCTGAGAACATCTCGCTGTGTAGGTTAAAGTCTTCTTTATACTATAAACTTAATGCTAACAAGAAGTTATTTTATAAGCTTTGATTAATAATCATTGTTAATTTTTTACTTATTTACAAAAGATATGTTCTGGGGGTGAGATTCAAAAATAAAATCCCTTTTGCCTCAGAGAAGCCCAACTGCTAACAAAGAGCGAGACATATGATAATGTGCAGCTTTGGTTATGAAACCCACGTGAAATCTCTTCGAATCCAACTCTTATAGATAAACACTCGGTATCCTTTTTACCTTATTTCTTCCACGATCATTTCAACACGTCTTTCGGTCTTTTTTTCTCCCCGATCTCTTTTATTTTTTTTTACTTGTCATTGCATAATATTTAAATCCAAATTAACCCAAAAAGTATCATCTATTCATTTCAAACAGTCTCTCCTCGGATCATAATAAGAGCTGATTCGACCGAAAGGCTGAATGAAAAATCAGTTTGATTTCTCACCTTCAAATATGGATGTTCGTTTCTGAGCATGCTCATCTGCTCACGTTCATTTGTGTTTTTGCTTTTTGGGTTCATATGTGTTTTCTTCAACGCCTACACTGCAGTTTATACTGAATTGTATATATGCTGAGCTTACAGTTTTTAAGTATATACCTCATAAGCTTATATATGGTTTACAATTTAGAATTATCCTTCTCCTAGAAACAAAGGCTAGAGACCTCAGTGTACCCTGCTATTTTACCTAAATCTGATAGAGAATAAACTAATAACTTTTCCATGGGAATTCATGCTTAAGTGAATGCAACAAACGGGATTCGAACTCGGTTTGCCTATTTCTCATTCGAAGTAGCTATTACACCGCCTGCACTTCCTTCGTAGAAACACATGGCAACATTTCGCTTAAATGCCAACAGATTAATGAACTTAATCACAATCAGCAACCGGAATGATTATTACAACGACGATACAATGTTTCTCTTAACTTTAAATATTAATTAAATTTATTCCGTTTATGAGATTTTAATTCGATTTATCAAATTAAATATCAATAACGCCTAAATTATACAAACAAAATCAAGCTGATATCTTAAAAAATAAAATTTAAAACACATTTATTTCTCAATTAGAAACATTTCAAAATATTTTTATAAAAATATTTTTATTTTTACTTTTTAAGCATTTAATATAATTATATTTCTTTTTATTTCATGGGCATATTTTGAAAAATATAATGTTCTGAAAGAGTAATTCCTATAAATGTAACTCCGAAAAACATGCTTATATGAAATTAAAACACCTTAACCAAGTTTTAGAAGTTAGCTTCCTCTAGTATTAAAATTTCTACTATATATTTAAAAAGCTATAAAGTTAATACATATATACCAATATAATGTTATATAATACATGTACGAGTGACTCTTCGAAAATAATGCCTCTCATTTATTTCCACAAAAGTTTCAACAAATACAGGGAGAATTATAACAGCATTAGATAGAATAAGTTATCTCTCATAAAATACTACTTCAACATAGTCACGACCATTGGCTATGGGTTTTGGAGGCTATCTTCATTTGGTAGATTGATAGTTGGAAAGAGCCTCCTGGAACGTGGCTTGTCACATTTCGTTGTTGCCACTACTGAAACGCAGTATTCATCGCCAAATTATACTTATGTTCACTGTTTTGATTTCCGTAAACGTTCAGCAAGTGTCGATGAAGTCAATAGGTGCAAGGAGAGGAATTCAGTGACACGCCTCTACTTCGTACGTACTTTCCTGTCAGTCGCCATTTTGCCAGAATGCTAGTTGTAACAAAAGAAAAATAAAATATGAGCTCATCATCCGCTACTATGCCACAAAGGCATACCTTTGACATTGTGAACCAAAGTAAATAGATTTGCTTTCGGAGCGACCATCATTTAATTACACACACACACACACACAAATTATATCGTATATATATATATATATCTTATATATATATATATATATATAATAATATTATATATATATATATATATATATATATATATATATATATATATATATATATATATATATATATTATAAGGGATTCAAAAACAATTCTAATGTTTCATAATTTGATGAAATTTTGGGAAGTTGTTCAAACCTAAAATATTTTTACGCCCCCTTGTATGATTTAATGATACAATCTTCTCTGGGAATAAATCACATATTACTTAATCAATTTATCAGTTACGTAACCTGGTCTCCTCTATTTATTAATAAAATGATTTGTTGTAGTGATAACAGGAAACATTACCCAACACTAATAAGAGTACTTCCACTGTATTACCATAGAGAATATCTTATTAGTAAGTAGTGCGAACAGCTAACTTTCTTTAGATAATTTTACTGTTAATGATTTCAGAAGTATAATTCTTTCTTACTTATAAACATAAACGATTAAATAACTCACACAAAATATATAAATGTTGCAACTAAAATTACTTACAAATTGCTGTTATTTTCGAGAAACTAGTAATTATATACTATTAGCTATGTCTTATAACAGTTACTACATTCAGGTATGAAATTTAACTGTAAATATAACAATTATCCTAGTACAGAGTTATATATATATATATATATATATATATATATATATATATATATATATATATATATATATATCATTTCAGCCCAAGCAAGTCAATTTAGCCACTAAGACGCAAGAGGTTACTGAGTGTTAGAGATTATGAGAAACACGCTATTAAAGAGAGAGAACAATAAAAGAATAAGGATTAAGAAAACAGAAGATAACGATTGATATTGCATTTCAATTTATATATGATGTTTATAGTAATATTTATTCATTATTCATCCATTTATTGCTTTATATATATATATATATATATATATATATATATATATATATATATATATATATATATCCTTATATTTCATTTGCGGCTTAGTTCCCTGAT